AGATTGGTAGTTTACTGGTGTCTTCCGGTGACGTTTATAGGTGGTTTCCCAATGATGTTTCGTTGGTGGTTGTGGCTTCCGGTGAGAAATGAGAGGACGGGAATGAGATGAGGAAGATGGGTGATGACGAGGGAGGGAAAAGAGATAATGAGGTGAGGGACCCATATTTTTTTATTTGTAATAATAATCATTAAATGGTTAATATTAAAAAAATCGAAAATAAATCAAAAAATAAATAACCAAAGGTAATATAGTCTTTTTCGTGTCTGTGAGGGACGAAATACGCAACTAAATAAAACAATAGGGATGGTCCGAATGTAAAACAAAAGTTAAGGATCAAACACGCAAATTTAACCAAACCATAGGGACAATTTTAGTAATTGTTCTAAAGTTAAAAACAAATAACCCCACCACCAACCACACCCCAACCAACCCACCCCACCCCTCCCTCGAAACACCCCCCCAACCCCCGCCTTCCCTTTCCCCTTTCCCTTCCCCTTTTACTTCTACCTTCCCTAGAAACCAAAACCATTGGAGCATCAACAATACTAGCATACCCACCTGTTTAACCATAAAAAACAACACCAACACCGCACAAGCTCCGCTGCCTATGCCACCACATTCATCTTCAGCATCTCTGCCTGTGTACTTCTCCCCAATTTTCTACATTATCGTTAAGATCTGATCTCCAATAAGAGGTTAGGAGCAGTGACAGGTGGTGTTCAAATGGGGAGCAATCGGAAAATTTATCCAAAAAACTCTGAAGATTGTCTCACCAAACCCTAAATAGGTTGTAGCGCTGTGTATCTGCACTTCACATCATCGATCTTTATGATGGAGATCAACTCTCTAATTCCTTTGGGTAAGTGGTGCTGGAGAAATGTATCACACCCACCGACCACCATAACTCAATCTCTTCATCTCTTAGGTTCTGATGTCCGCTATCACCACAGTCTCCGGCAGAACTATTGAACACCAACATCATCTCAAATAGATACCTTGATTTCTAGATCTGGAGGGGATAATGAAACGTATTTCAACTCGGAGCCTCCACTGGCACCATGACTTCAACTGGTAAATTGATCAGAAAAGACAAAGAAGCAGAAGCATATAGGTTCAGGTGGAGTTTTATTCCTCACTAATTCTCTTGTTCTACACTGATTTCCTTTTAGATGAGAAAAGAGAGAAATTAGAAACGACAAATGGTTGTAAAGAGGAACAATGGCGGTGGCTGATCCGGAGAGAATCTTTTTTCCGACGGTGGTTTCCGGTGATGAACATGAAGGGAAAGAAGTCTTTGAGAGGAGAGATGAAGAAGAGGTGTATGAGGGTGGGGCCCATTTCTTTTATTGATAGATTAATAAGAGAAGCCATTTTTTCTTTAAAATAAAATAAATAATAATAAACAACTTAAAAATAAATCAAAAATAAATAGATAAGGGCAAAATAGATATTTTATGTTTGGTAAACAATTTTAGGGACGAAACGTGCAGCTTTTAACAATATTAGGGATGATCCGAGTTAATTTTTGAAAATAGAGACTAAACCCGCAATTTGATACTTGGACCATGAACGAATCTTGTAATTTACTCTATTAGCTCACATTGAGATTCAAGAAATATTATTTCAATTTGAACAGAAAAATATCTTATCATTGAGTTATGGAGTGACTTTGTTTTTATTTTTTTTTTCTCATTGTGCTATAAAAAAGTTTTTTTCATGTGCTAAAATATCTTAGGATTTTACCATTATTTTACAAAATATTCAATTTAATGGGCATCTATCCTAATAAATAAATATCATTTTGTCAAATGTCATCTTCTAATTCAATAATTTGATGCATGTAATTTTGTGATTTTTTTGAAGAAATTTAAATCTACATGTCATTTTGTGATTTTTTTTTTTTGAATTAAATTCAATTAATATACCATATTATACCAATATTTTATATATGTAATGTATTAAATACATTAAATATAATAATAAATGCAAATAATCTTAGAAAAAATAAGATGAAAAAATCCGTACCATAATTATTGTTGTATTCTCAATGCTATATATATATATATATATATATATATATATTATATATATATATATATATATATATATATATATATATATATCGTCCCTAATAAATAAAGATCTTTCTGTTACATGTCACATTCTTATTTATTTTGCCACATGTAATTTTGTGGTTATTTTGAATTAATTTTTATTCCACATATCATTTTATGGTTTTTTTATTTTATTAAATTCTAGATAGTATTTAAATGCATATCAACTTCATTAATAAAATTTCTTTATAATTTCAAAATTACTAAATTAAAGATTCATTAATTTTATTTATTATTTGTTTAAATTTAAAAGAGAAAAAAACCACTTAAATTTTTATAATTCAATTTTCTTTTTCACTTTTCTTATAAATTCATACATATATAATAGGTTATAACCCGTGTAATACACAGCTGATAAATTAAAATAACATAGATAATAATTGTAACAAAATAAGTGAAATAGAAGATTATTTATAATTGATTACCAACATTTTGAATTTCAAAATCTTTATAAATAATGCTAATTTTAAGGGATTTAGAAAAAAAAAATTAAATATAAAGTCATAGAAAAAGACATACGTCATTTTTAAAGAGTATGAGAGAAAATAAATTAAAATTTATAAAAAAAAAAAAAATAACAAGTGACAAATTTATGATTCTTTATTAAAAGAGAGATATTTGTGATTTCTAATGTTACATGTTAAAAGACTATTTAATAGACAAATATAGAAAACACATATTTTCATTTATTTTTTGGTTTATAATTCATATTTACAATATCACTATTTTAAGGTTTATATTTTAGAAAATAGTTATGAAGTTTCGGTTTGAAAGTAAAAAGCCGTTTCTTTGGCACATTTATGAATTAAAAGATCTCATTATTTAAAAAGTATTCATCATTTCTTGAGAGTTACTATATTTACCAAGGTTCTAAAAAGTTCGTCATGGCTCCGTCATGGCGCGCCACAACTCTAAGGCTTGCACTTGCCGCCAAGTTTTGCCAAAACGTCAACTTAACTCATATATGTGTATAAAAATGAATAATAATTGAAAATACATATAAAATATTAATTATATAGAAAATTACCGCCCTAAGTCACGCCTTACAAATGTCATGACTCGCCAAAGCTTGGAAAAGTTTGAGGCTTGACATTGACGCCAAGTTATATCTTACGTTATTTAGAACCTTGATATTTATTAATCACGTGTAATTTTAGCCATCAAATCAAAAATTCAAATTTAGGATTGAATTATTATAGGAGACACTACACATGTATTTTTATATTTGTAGATCGTTTACCAAATAATGCATAATTAATGTTGGCTACATCATGTACATTAATTTTGCAGCTAAAAAATAAATTTTTCGGGCTTTTTAACTATTTATTCAGATGACAAGGATTTTATAAACAAGTTTGGGGATCTTTTCAATCCTAAACATGTTGTCTCACTTCTTAATGATTGTGCAATGGTTCCAAACATCCCAAAATATTATAATTTAGTTCATAATAACCAATAAGGATCACTACATTTTATTTTCATAATTAATATCAATTTCATTTATAAAGTAAAAAAAGTTGAATATTTATGTGAATTTGATAATGTAAATAGAACATTTCATAGTTGATATAAATACGATAAATATAGTTTTCACCATATGAAGATGATATGAGAAGTGAAATGACTTCTTGCAATTTCACAATTAATAGAGTGATTTATTTTAAATTATAGCAAACTATGGTTGATGCTTCACCGATTTTTTTTTATTAAAGGTACTTATTAAATCCTCATTTCATGATTGCTAAGGTCATTTGGTTGCCAATGTGGGACTAACCCAGTTAGCTGAGACTTTGCATTTTAGATTGGAGATCCCGAATTTTAATCTAGGTGTTGGCGAATTCCACTAACTTGGTGATACTAATTTCTCACCACTAAGCAACCGTTAAAAAATAGAGTGATTTGGTTGAAGTTATTGCAAACTATGGTTAACGCTTCAATATTATTTTTAAATACTTAATAATTCCTTATTTCAGTTAAATCCTACTGAAATATATCATTTTAAATTTTGTTAATGTTAAATCCTTAGTTTTCAATATTTTTTTAATCAATCTGTATAATACATGAGTTTTTAATGGAAGTAGACAAGACATTGCGAATGCTTCATTAAGTTATTCCTACATCTGGTCAATATGCAAAGTTCTAAGTTTAACAAAAAAAACATGAGATTAAGTGTTCAAACATCTAATATCGAAGAAACAACAACATTTGCAAACTAGCTATTAGATATATGAGAATGAAAGGTTGATAATTTAAATGATGGCAAGACAATTATTAATATTCGGGATAATCTTCTCATTAGTGATTCTTTTGATCATATTGGTTCATTATTTGAATATATATATTTATTTTGAAACTAGGTGTAAGACTCATGTATTACATGTGCTAATTAAAAAATCTATAAATCTCTAAATATTTAAGAACTTTGGATTTATAAGAAAAATAATGAATTATTAAAATTGATTTTTTTTATCTTTTAAATTTAAATAAATAAATAAAATAAACTAATGAACTTTACTTTGGAATTTTTGAAATAAGAAGGTAGGTTCATTAAAGTATTATGTAGAATTTAATAAAATAGAAAAACTTTTAAAATGACATGTGGAAAAAAAATCAAAATAACCACAAAATGACATTTGATAAATTTAATGAAAATATGACAAAAAAATCATTTATTAAAGAGGATTTCACTTTAAAAAATACTTAATATTTTCACATTGATATTTAAACTTTTTTTAATCAACTTGTATACTACAATGGTCTCACATATAGTTTATTAAAACAAAATCTTATAAATTAATAGTTTAATAAATGTAAACGTGTCAAACCATTCAATTTTCAAGTTGTATGTTTTTCACATTTAATTTCGGGTCTTCTCACGTTTAAAATAAAGTGGACTATATTTTTCGTCTCTATATTCATAATAAATTTATGCGTTGATTCTTGAAAGATTTTTATATGACGAGAAATTGAATATGTTCCTACAATTTAATTCCTACTTTTCTTTCTACATATTTAAGGTGATGACAAGTGTGTATATTTAACATCAATCAAATTTAAATTAAATTTAATAACACTTGTCACCATCTAAAATATGTAAGAAGATAGTAGGAACAAAAAATAGAATAATATTTAATTCTCATTAAAATGATTGGTTTTCTATCTGTTTTAAGTCAAGGGCTCAAGGTCTTCGTATTGACTCTGTTTTTCTCCAGTTAAGTTAAAACACCAAAAACATGCTTGGCACATAAGGCCATTATTGTCATTTCATAGATCTAAAATACTGAATAGCATTTTTTTAGGGTCTAATTATTGTTTTCAACTTTTTTTAAAATGGGTTTTGGTTGAGTTTTTCAACCCATCAACTCGTTTATTAAATGGGTCATATATGGACTTCTCAAAAAATATACGGGTTGATCCGCCAACCCGTTTAAATTTTAATAAAAAAATTATATTTTTTAAATGTATTAAGTTTATACACTATAAACTTTATACTTTATACTATGATAGGTTACGCAATATCATTGATCATTTGATATGTGAGTAACCATCTGCTGATTTGCATTGTAACACGTTTAGCGTTTGCCCTAAATAATCTTAGTATCTCGCAAAGACAGTGACATGAACGACTGACTCATTATCGAATGACGTCTACACCTGCGATTGAATTTATCTATATTTGTATTAATGTTTTAGTTTGAACGTGTTTTCATGAATGTTTTTAATTTTCATTTGGATGTTTAAGACTTAAGTTTCAAAATTTTGTTATATGTTTGCATCAATAATTTATTCATGTTTAATTATTAATTTTATTTATAGAATCTGACCCACGAATCTACCAACCTGTGAACCGTATAAATAAATGGGTTGACGGGTCATATATGGGTATGTTTCAAACCCGTGAACCCGGAAGCTGTATAATTAAATAGGTCGTGTTTGGGTCGAAAAAGTTCCGTTTGGATGCTAAATTTTCTGCGGTTTTGATTAATAAAAATGGATTTCTATTACTAAAACCGCATAATGGACCCGGATTCTTTTTCGTTTATCCGTCTGATCCGACCCGAATCATTGCGTTAACGTGGACTAAAACGAACAAAAGAAGAAGCTTTCATCAAATCGGATAAATGATTTGGTTGAATGACAACCCTCGATTCTTCCTCCGCAGCTGAATCGAGCATGGACGAATCATCCAACCTTCAACAACCTCCTTCTGCCACCAACGACGGTCGCGGCTACGCCGGTGGTGTATCCGACGAAGAACAGAACAGCAAAGAATCTGAGGTGGTGTGGAGTAACTTCACCGACAGCTTCCGTGAAGTCCAATCCGTATTGGACCGAAACCGAGCTTTGATTCAACAGGTCAACGAGAATCACCGCTCCAAAATTCACGAGAACATGGTCAAAAACGTTGCCCTAATTCAAGAGATCAACAACAACGTTTCCAAAATCGTGTCCCTCTACTCCGATCTATCTATCAACTTCTCCAGCGCCTTTCATCAACGGGTTTCAGAGACTGATGCAGACAACCTGAAGGAGAGTTGATACTTGATCGATTGGCTTTATGCAATTTTCCAGTAATTCCGAAGTCTACTCTCTTTTTTTTCGTCGTAATTTCTGGTCGATTATGATGTGAAATTTGAATTTTCGAAGTTGACTGGTGTTTGATTTTGTATTTCTTGATTACGGAATATCGTAGGGATTTGTTGTTGAGTAATATACATATACGTAATTTGTCCTGTTCTTGATCCGATGAGTCGCTGCTAATTTATACGAGTTTATCGATGTGTTTTGTTATGATTGAATGCAATTTTGGAGTAAATTCATACGCTTCTGGAGATATTGTCACTTGAAACTTGAAACACAATGACAGGTGTCCGATTGATGAGGCCAATTTGGTCTAAACAGTTAGAAATGGGAATTGAATTTGTTACTTCTTTAGTGGTAAAAAAGCTCAAAATTACGTGAGCTCTGATTAAATTGGTTTTACGAAATAAAGTAATAAACCACACAAGAGCAAAATCACAATAACTACAATTTGATTTGTTATCTTTTTATCTAACCTCTTCAAATTTTACAATCAACTTAAAAGGTGCGAATTAAGGTATATGTTCAAAAGTTTTTTCAATTGTATAAAACTGGTAAAAATGTAAAATAGGACATTAGGAATCATAAGTGTAGTTCACCACTGTCTGCCACAACAACATTGCTTTTAGGGGTACCATTTTGCTTCCCTTCCGCTTCAATCTTATGCACAACATCCATTCCCGACACCACCTTCCCAAACACCACATGTCGTCCATCCAACCTACAAAAAACATAACAACCAAATTAAACTTCACAAAATTGAAATAAAACAGGTTTGACCTCAAAAGTCAAACTGTTGCGTAGAAACTAGAAAGTAACATCTCACCAGCTAGTTATAACTGTTGTAATGAAAAACTGAGAGCCATTAGTATCCGGTCCAGCATTTGCCATAGACAGAACTCCTGTTTTCACCAAAAATAAAAATTTAAACAATTTTGTTTTGTTTTTTTTTTTTTAAATTAATAAGGTGTTTTTTTTTTTTTACCAGGATCAGTGTGTTTCAATTTGAAATTCTCATCAGCAAACTTTTCGCCATAGATGGACTCCCCACCACGCCCATCACCACGTGTGAAGTCGCCTCCCTGAATCATAAAGCTTGGTATGATTCTATGGAATGTGCTTCCTTTGTAATGAAGAGGCTTTCCACTTTTCCCAATTCCTTTCTCCCCTAAAATCCAGAAGGGAAAGAAAATTGGCTAAATTGTAAGCTTGAAAGATTAGTTTATGTGATTGTAATAATTTGCTATATAATTAATTTTTCTTCATCATGGTTTTTCTCTGCTTTTGGAGTTTTTTTTAGTATTTATATTAGGGAGGAGAAAACATAGTAAGAGAATTAAAAGTTGATTAGTTACCTGTGCAAAGAGCTCGAAAATTTTCTGCAAATATAATAAGTATTAGTTAAGTTCTTTAATCTTTATACATTAAGAAATCTTGAAACATACAAAAATAAGAGTATTATCAATATGTTTGGCTGTTGTATTTGTACCTGCTGTCTTTGGCACTGCCTTCCCAAAAAGGCCCATGATTATGCGTCCTGAAAGCAAGAATTCATGTATAGATGATCAACATTCTAAATTGTTGCCACGTGTATAAAAGAAAACTTGTGTGGTGAATCCATCAATGCATTTCAGATTATGAAACTGTTAACATTTATGTGTTGAGATTCAAGAAAGTATATATAGAAGAGATGAAGATCATCAAACATACCCATGGGCTTTCCATCAATCTCAACATCAAAATAAACCTTGTGTGTAACTTCATCTAGATCCCCTTCTGGTCCATCTGCCTAATAAGCAATCATCAATGGACATGTATTTCAGATTATTGAGCTATAAGCCCTAATTAATTGCCGATAAATCCATAATCACATCAAATTTATCCTCTTAAATCCCAGTCGAGGTTGTAAATTAGGCCAAGCGTTAGGTCAATAACCAAAAACAGCAATTAATTGGAAATAAAAGATGAAACCTAAACAAAACACAATTATACATCACGTATAAGAAGAAGAAGGAAGAAGATGGGAAAATGAACCAGATGGCTTACCTTATGATTGTGCTGATTTTTAACAGTATTTTGTTCTGAAGCAACATCAGTATCAGTAATCCGGTTCTGTAAACAGTAAAAACAGATTAGTGGATACAAACTAGAGAAAAGATTATGATTTTCCATCTAATAGGTTGTTCGCGATGAATAAATGATGATGTTAAAAGTACCAGAACAAAAACGACTGTTCCAAAGAGAAGTAAACCCCATAGAATGGCGAGGGGAGGAATTTTGGTTCTGTTAGGCATCGTCTTCGTCCCTGGAGAGATCTGTTAGCTTGGGTTTGTGACTTTGTGTTGTGGGTATATATGAGTGCCACCGTAATGCAACTCGATACTATTACATGAGATTGTTGATTCATATATGCATCTTCTTGTTTTATTATTTATCTTAAATCATATATAAATTATATTTAAAGTTATATTCTTTGCATTTTTATAAATAATTTCACATTTATCCTGGTTTATTTGAAATTTTTATAAAGTATATCATATTTTATATTGGTGTTATAACTAATAAATAAAAAGATTATGATCTTAATCTAGATATTTAACAAGGTAGAATAATTTAAATAATCAAAAAAACTGTAAATATCGGTTAATAATGTCGTACCGATGTTAAAAAGAGAACTCGGTCCTTTACTTTCTCTCCCTTTCTTTAACCTAATATCATCTCATTTTTTTCTTAAGAAAATAATTAATCTCTTCATGAATTTAAACTGTCACCATCATCATTACGTTTCTTCCCCGAAACGACCTCACATCACTAACCACCAAAGAATTGTAGCACTACTCCTATGTCTTTAAACCATTGTAGTTACTATGAGCTTGATAAGACCAAGAAAATATTGTCTCTAACCATCTTAGGGATCGTTTGATAGTTGTTGATCGGGTTAGATAACAAAAAATGTGAACAGTTTCTATAGTTGAGTAGCAAATAAATAACAAAAAAAAAATTAGTGATTAAATGTAAAAAAAAATCAAAAGTTGGTTACCATTTCAAATCATTATCCCTATAATTTATTTTGCTCTTCTTTCTCTCTGGTATCATACCTAATGCACTAGAGTAGACAAAGTAACTTATATTTTTCAGCACTCCCAAAGTCTCAACCTTCTCAATTTTGATTTAAAAAATTGGAAACACTTAATAAACTACAAAATAAATAACAAAATTAGACTAAAAACATTTCATTAACAAAACACATAAATACAATTAATAATTAAAATCTTAAATATGAGAATTAAAATCCTAAATACGATAACTAAAGGGTAAATGGCAAACAAACACTCTTTTTACACAGAAATTTAATTTTGATATCGTGTTTTTTTTATCAATTTTGACACTGTGTTTTCCAATTTGTTACAGTTCTAACCACTTGACCGGTTAACCAGGTTACATGCTGATATGGCATGATGACGTGTCAGTTTTTGATGACGTGACATGCTGACATGATATGCTGACGTGTCAAAATTGATTTTTTTTCCACAAAAAACATTAAGTTTTCACTTTTTTTCGATTTTGACACTAAGTTTAATTTTCTATTTCAAATTTGACACTATGTTTTTTCTGTTCCAATCGAACATCATTTATCAAATTTTGTTCAATTTTATCTATTTTCCATTTGAAACCGTATAAATATATTTTTTATTACATTTTAAACCGTATAAACATATTTTTTTCGTTTAAAAACCACATTTTTATTTAAATACAAAGTGTATTTTTCCTTATATTCAAAGCATTAGTTATATATCATGAGAATCAAACTAACCATAAGCTTCTAATAAGATGTAAAAATTTGATGGGTTGCAAGCTTGATATCTGAGTTTTGATCGACTACACGCCTCCAAACATCCAAACACATTTTAAAGTTGCATATTTAATATAAAATACAATTTTTATATAACTAATACATATTTATATATAAAAATATGGTTTGAGTATAAAAAAATGTATTTATACAAAACTATGGTTTTTAAATGAAAAAAAAATATTTATACGGTTTAAATGTATTAAAAAAATATTTATACGGTTTCAAATAAAAAATTGTCAACATTGAACGAAATTGGAAAAAATAATGTACGATTTGGAACAAAAAAACATAGTGTCAAAGTTGAAAGAAAAAATTAAACTTAGTGTCAAAATCGAAAAAATAATGAAAACTTAGTGTTTTTTGTGAGATAAAAAAATTCAATTTTGACACGTCAGCATATAATTTCAGCATGTCACGTCATCAAAACTGACATGTCATCATGTCACGTCAGCATATAACCTGGTTAACCGGTCAAGTGGTCAGAATTGTAACAAATTGGAAAAACACAGTGTCATAATTGACACAAAAAATAACACGGTGTCAAAATCGAATTTATATGTAAAAATAGTGTTTTTTGTGCCATTTACCCATAACTAAAAGCTAGAAATATTTTTCATCCCCCCATCTATAAATTTGTGCAATTTACTACTTACAAGTGATCACCGCATTCAACTGCACTCTGGTTAAACAGTCATGTGGCTTAAAGAAAAATTGTAAATCGTTAACAAATCATTTCCCTTCATTAGGCATAACTCCTCCTCCAATATTTTAGCTTTCTTTTTCGACTCCTCATCTAAGATGCGTGATTTATCCCTTCTATAGCGCTCCTTATTTTCCTCTGCCTTGCCGGTTATGTTTGTGAGTTGGCTGACTTCATCCTCAATGCTTTTATTATTAACCAAGTTTAAGCATGTGCTTGTTGGTTTCTTGCCCATTTGTAGTCGCAGTCACGACGTCGACATTGGTGCTTCTACTTAAAACTCTAGACCAAGAATATCTTCACCGCCCTTGTTTATGCTACTTAAAAATTGGGCATCTTATCCACTTGTGTAGGCATTCTAATAAGATTTTCTTTTCCTTTTGTTGAAGGATGTGGGGTTGT